AGAAAGAGAGAGCCAGGCTTCATGTGGGCACCAGGGCGTAGCCTCATGTTGTATCACTCCTGCACATTTTCCAGCCACGTGTGGCTTCCCTTCATTTCTGTAAAGTCCCCACACTTTTCCCGTCCCAAGACCTCACCATCTACTCCTCTCTCTGCCAGCTTCCCACCAAACTCTCAAAGCACCCTGCATTCTTAGCTAATTATTTCCTAACGTCTGTCATCCTGGCTGGGACCCATCTGGGCAGGGACCCTGTCCACCTTGGTTACTGCCGTGTCCTTCATGGCGAACCAGTGCCTGGAATCAAAGTAGACGCTGAGTAATGACCTTTTGGTAAATGAACTTAGAATCACAGCTGCATGGGGAGCGTCAGCCTTCTTCACCTGCTGAGACTCTCCTAGGCTGTTCCCCATCTCCAGACTTTTTCTCATTTCAGATAGAAGCATCTTAACATTTCACAACTGTCTCTTAAAGAAATTTCACCTTTATCTCACTCGTTTGGTCTTGTGGACAACTGATGTGAAATATCTTTTTAAATCTTTAGCTGTTGCATCTTAGTCTGAAGACTTCCAAGATCAAGTCTTCAAGTGAACATGTTCTAGAAATGTTGGATCCTTTTGTGTCTCTGCTCATAGACTGCCTGGGCTCCATGGACGTGAAGGTGAGCATCTGTCCCTTCACAGGACATGTGTTGTACAAAATACCTGGCACTTATTTCTGGGCTCATGCTTCACAAGATGTTTGAGTTTTTAAAGGCATTTATAGTATCATGAACCACCTCTATTCCCTGCACTAAACTGCTCCCCAGTTTAACAGTCCCATATCCAGGAAAGCCTTTAACAGTTTCAAAAGCCTTTCTAGATATATTAATTTTTTTAAGTTGAAGTATGGTCGATTTACAGTGTTGTGTTAGTTCATTCATTGTTTCATTCGATCTTCACAACAGCTTCATGAGGTGAGTGAGTGGTGTTGTCCCCATGTCAGTAGTCATCATCTCATCACCATCCTTGTCACTACTACTGCTCGCTGCTGTGGATCCTCATAACAAGCCATGAAGCATGTATTATTGATGTTTCTATTTCATAGATGAGAAAACCGGGCCTTAGGCTTAGTGACTTGCCCCGTATCACAGACGTAGGGCATAAGCCTCGGTCTGTCAGACTCCAAAGCCCACACCTCTCCCACTTCCTCAGGTTGCCTACTGTACTGCAACAGTGCGAGAGGTTAAGTAACATCCCTGTGGTCAAACAGGTAATAAGCTGCAGAGCTGGGATTTAAGCTGGTCTTCCTGGGCTTCTGAGCTCTTTCTTCAGTGTCTTCATCTAATCCTGCCCAATAAGGCCATCCCAGCAACCAGAGGATAGGGCTCCATTAGTTAGAGCTGAACCAGATTGAACTGGTTCAATCAGGATTCTTTTGTAA